GAGTTCCAGACCCAGCTCTGCCAATAATCAGTTTAATGAGTAACAACCAATAAACAAAACAAATTACCCAACTCTTAGACCTCAGCTTCCTTATCAATAAAGTGGCTGGACTGAACCAGCGCAATTCAACACACCGTCCTGTGATGATGGAAATGCTCTGTATCTGCACTGTCCACTACAGGAGCCACTAGATACATGCGGCTACTCAACACTTAAAATGTGGCGAGCGTCACTAAGGAACAGATTTTTATTTTAAGCGATTTAAATTTAACTTGCCACATGTGGCTAGTGGCTACTGTGATAGCCATGCGGGATTAGACTAAGACGCCATCCAGATACAAAGGAGGGAACGGAACAGACACAGGACAATAAAGATGAAAATAAACGAATACTAAAAATATCCTACAGCACAAAGATGAAAGAGACACTTGTTTATCAACTTTAAGTTCCAGAAGACTAGCTCCCATATTTTCCAAACCCAGAGAGGTGACTGAAATCACAGAAATCCTGAAGCAAAGTCTTAAGCTAAGGGCTTAAAACCCAAACTTAAGTAGAAGAAATAGCAATCCAAGGTACATTTAGAGATTTAAAGAGATAAAAGATAAAACTATGTAAAAGCTGAAACAGAATTGTTGAAGCAGATTTTCCAAAGGGATTATATACATGGCACAAAAGGATTCATACTCAAGACAAACTGGACTATAAATTTTCTTTGCTTCTTGTAAGTTTCTTAATTTACAAAACTCCTAGTAAACTGTACCTTTACATATTTAAAAACACAAACGCAGGGAGGTGTACCTTCAAAACAGGCGGTAGAGGGGTTAAGAGCTCGGGCTTTGCCGCCAGACTATTTGGGCTGTAACTGCTGGCTCTCCCTTACTCTCTCTGCAACCTTAACCAAGTTACTTAACCCACAGTGCCTCAGTCCCCGACCCGTGAAGTGGAGATAATAGTACCTATATTGTGAAGTAGGAAATGAGAATACTTTATATATGAAAAATATATATACACAGCCACAGACATATATAGTCAATATACACAAACATATATACATATATAGTAATATAAAAAAAACGACAGTCCTTGGCACATGGTAAATGCTGGGGAAAAATTTGCTGCTAAATCTGTTTATTATAATTATTATTCAAAGTTTGAAACTACTTAGATGGGAACCAAAATAAAAAGGTAATTTTATTTTATTTTTTTTTAAAGATTTTGAGAGCGAAAGAGAAAGTACACACGAGTGGGGGGAGGGGCAGAGGGAGAAAGAGAAGCAGACTCCCCACAGAGCAGGGAGCTTGATGCGGGGCCACCCAGGTGCCCAAAAAAGGCAACTTTAACTTGTGTATTTATAAGATGCTGATGCAGACTAGAGTCAACAAATCTCTAATCACCTGATAAAACTTTGATTTGCAAATACAAAAATAGGTATTTCTATGGCATTGACCTAAAATTCTCAAAATGCAAAGGCCCCAAGGTGGTTTGCAGCTTGCACCCCTAGTAAAGGCAGGAGCCTAAGGCTGGTGATCTGGGCCATGCTGCAGAATGAGATATTCCCAACTTGCCCACTGTAAGCAGAGAAAATAAAACAATAAAACAAAATAGAGGAGATTCTCCAAGTTACCTTATGAGGTCATCTGAATTTGGCGAGCTACCTTCTGAGGTCCTAAGGGCCTCTGCATTCACAAAGGGCTGTGACACACAAGAGAGAATATGCCATGCCTCAACTCTTTTCCATTCTTCAATATACAGTGCTTTGTACCTAGTGGACCTTCACACGTCTCTTTCTTTTTTAACTGACTGACTTTTAGACCAGCTAGGAAGTCACAAAACAAGACACCCTACCGTACTGACACAAGATGCAGCAAAGGTACGACCTAACTACAGATTCCACCCAGTGGAGTGAGAGAGAACTGCACCTGAAAAAGTGAGACCGCAGGGTTCCAGACCCTACTTCGTCAGTGATTTCAGTGGTCTCTTACAGGACACTCCTGAGCATCAGTCCCTGTCTACAGAATGAAGGGTAGTCCAGAGATTTCCCAAGTACATTCTAACACTGATGTTGCAGGAATTAATATGAAAGCTTTCTAGACATATATAGCAATCCTTACATTAACAAATGCCATAAAAAAACAATAACATAGAGTGCCTGGGTGGCTCAGTCAATTAGGTGTCTGCCTTCGGCTCAGGTCATGATCCCAGGGTCCTGGGATCGAGCCCTGCCATCAGTCTCCCGGCTGAGTGAGGAGTCTGCTTCTCCCTCTGCCTCTCCCCCTGCTCATGCTCTCTCTCAAATAAATAAAAATCTTAAAACAACAATGCAAACAAATAGAGCTCTCTATTCACAACATAGTTTCCCTACTGCCCTATCAGAGCAAAACTGCAAACAAAGCATCTACCCTATGTCAGGATACTGAATGAGAATTAACAGATACAAAACAGATGAGTTTTTCGATCAAAGGTGTCAATTCCTAACAGCAGAGGCTGAGAGAGAGGGGGCTCTCACAGCAGTACTAGGAGGGCAGTGAGGGCAGCGGGAGGAGGAGCGGGGAGAGCTGGAAGAAAGGTGAAGAAGGGGAGAGGAAGGGAGCCAGCCAGTGCAGTTCAGCTCTCCACCACCAGTAACTCTTCCCCACCTCCCTGATAACCTCAAAAATTCCTCTAACAAGGTTAAGGCCTTTCTCTACAGGTATAACAATAAAAACCTAATAATGGTCTTTGACCAAGCACATCCGAATCCGAATTCCATTACACTGAGGACAATTAAAATCAAATGAGTTTAAACTAGTATTAGATTCTTTCCTGTTTGGGTCCTTCAAAGGGCCCAATGAATAAAATAATAAAAGTGATTCAAAAAAGAGAGGAAAGGATCAGAAAAAGACTAACTTCACAAATTTTGGTGAAGGCCATTTTTGGGCAATTTTGCTTAAAATTACTTAACATTAGTTTCAAACCAGTCCTCATTTTAAAGGAGCTTTACTCCCAGAAGCTCTGCTAATCATGGACGGCTGCCATAGTGCACACACTGCGCAAATGCTGGGCTCACGCTGAGACATCCCTCCCTACAGGTCTGTAGTACGTGTGGTGACCAGGGAGAACACAGGACATGGAGGGGCCTTTGTCAAGGCCTTTATTTTGACCTGGTCTCCAAGCTCCACAGCCTGACCCTACTTTCCTCTCCGTCCATGCCCCAAAGGTAGCAGGTGACCAATTTTCAAATGGTGGTGGGATGTTTACAAGGACTTGCCCCAATTTTAACCTTGAAGGAGGGAGTGAAGAAAGAGTGGGGAATATGCTGTGCTTCCAGATGGCAAGACCCACTTCACCTCTCACCCAGGGAGATTTGACTGAAGTTGTGGCTAGTCTAAGAAAGTCATAAAAATCCACTGTTGGAAGCTCTGAAGTTACAGGTGCTGACGAGTGGTTTGGTAAGTAAGATAATTCAGAAATCCAGGTAAGTTTCCAATGCTTCCTTGACCCATGCATCTTTAGAATCAAGTAGGAGAATACAGCCATCTTTTCCCCAGTGTAATAACCATTTCTTTCCAGTGATAACACAATGACATGTTCTAAATAATATTTTCACAAAGTTTCTACAATATTAACAAGCAGTATTTCGGGCGCCTGGGTGGCTCAGACGGTTAAGCGTCTGCCTTCGGCTCAGGTCATGATCCCAGCGTCCTGGGATCGAGTCCTGCATCGGGCTCCCTGCTCCTTGGGAGCCTGCTTCTCCCTCTGCTTCTCTCTCTCTCTCTCTGTCTCTCATGAATAAATAAAATCTTAAAAAAAAAAAAAAAAAAAAGCAGTATTTCTAAGGAACCTGTTTGATTTATACCACTAGCCAAACAAAGAAAAAACTGCTTAAATATCTTTAAAACTTAAACCCAAGGTTTAACTTATTCTGTTTCCCTGTCAATGGCAAGAAGCCAAAACAGCAATAAGAAAACTTGATGTGATCAAATGAATATTTCGACTATAAGAAAAAATACAGTGATATAAAGCAGTCCAGTATTTGTCAAAGCACTCATAAGCCACCATTAACATTATTAAACATTGCATTAAGATAATAAAACGCAAAAGACCTGGATGTACTGATTCTCTATTACTGAACAGTTTATAAACAGAATAACTTAAGCACTATCTAGTATATTCAATTCTTTTTTTTTTTAATTTATTTGTGTATTTTAGAAAGAAAGCGAGGGAGCACGAGCAAGAAGAGCAGACGTAGAAGGAGAGAATCTTTTTTTTTTATTCTTATGTTAATCCCCATACATTACATCATTAGTTTTAGATGAAGTGTTCCATGATTCATTGTTTGTGCATAACACCCAGTGCTCCATGCAGAATGTGCCCTCCTCAATACCCACCACCAGGCTAACCCATCCTCCCACCCCCCTCCCCTCTAGAACCCTGTTTGTTTTTCAGAGTCCATCGTCTCTCATGGTTCGTCTACCCCTCCCATTTCCCCCCTTCATTCTTCCCCTCCTGCTATCTTCTTCTTTTTTTTTCCCTTAACATATATTGCATTATTTGTTTCAGAGGTACAGATCTGAGATTCAACAGTCTTGCACAATTCACAGCGCTTACCAGAGCACATACCCTCCCCAGTGTCTATCACCCAGTCACCCCATCCCTCCCACCCCACCCCCCACTCCAGCAACTCGCAGTTTGTTTCCTACAATTAAGAATTCCTTATATCAGTGAGATCATATGATACATGTCTTTCTCTGTTTGACTTATTTCACTCAACATAATACCCTCCACTTCCATCCACGTCGTTGCAAATGGCAAGAGAAGAGAGAGAATCTTAAGCGGGCTCCATGCCTAGCACAGAGCCCGATGTGGGACTCGATCTCATGACCCTGAGATCAGGACCTGAGCCAAAATCAAGAGTCGGACGCTTAACCGACTAAGCCACCCAGGTGCCCCTAGTATATTTGATTCTTCAGTATTTTCTCATTAGCACATGATTAAGGTTACAAGAACCCCTCTTTACTTACCCACAAGCCACATACTGTCCATTCCTAGATGTGGCAATACTTAATCCATATAAACTGCCTTCATCAACAAATCTGTTAAGGCACTTTCTAGAGTTCACATCCCAAACATAAACTTCCCCATCGCCTGAAAGGAAGAGCCAAAAAAGGGTTGGTTAATTTTGTTTTAAATGTGAAAGCCAAGTGAACTGACCATTCTTAGCCTCTCTTTATTTTTTTCATTTTTTATTTTTAAAGATTTTATTTATTTGAGAGAGAGAATGAGAGAGAGCATGAGAGGGGGGGAGGGTCAGAGGGAGAAGCAGACTCCCTGCTGACCAGGAAGCCCGATGTGGGACTCGATCCTAGGACTCCAGGATCATGACATGAGCCGAAGACAGTCACTTAACCAACTGAGTCACCCAGGCACCCTTTAGCCTCTCTTTAATACTAGAAGGGACTACAAACAAAAACTCACTATAAATGTCCTAGGTCTAGAAAACTGGCCTAAAAATATTTCTGGTATACATTCCCACGTATAGAAAACTGCATCCTCATGAGTAGTTAACAAACAGTATCTTTAAGTTTAGAGTGGAAACACAAACTCTTGGCTTGAGTTGAGCTTTCAGAAGAAACTTCTACATTTCGCTCAGATGAATTGGAGTAAAAATTTGAAAAAACAAAAAACAAAATATCCATCATAGTAGGTTCCAACCTCCATCAACAGGCACTAGAGCACCTATATGTGAGGCCAGGATATTTACATACCAAATTGATGATGATGGTCATGATGGAGGAAGTAGAGAATGAAGGGATCCAGACCACAAGGGAGTTATAATTTAAAACACATATAACTTTTTTTTTTTAAGATTTTATTTATTTATTTGACAGAGAGAGACACTGAGAGAGAGCGAACATAAGCAGGGGGAGTGGGAGAGTTCGGAGAAGCAGGCTTCCCATGGAGCAGGGAGCCCGATGCGGGGCTTGAGCCCAGAACCCTGGGATCATGACCTGAGCCGAAGGCAGACGCTTAACAACTGAGCCACTCAGGTGCCCCGAAGACACATATAACTTTTTCTATTACCAAGTCATTTAAACTATAATAAATGCCAACTGTGAGGGGCCCCTGGGTGGCATAGTCGGTTGAGCCTCCGACTATTGATTTCGGCTCTTCTTCTCCTATGCTTTTAGGACCTTTGTTATGGAAAATAAGACCTCCACAGTAATAACCAAATCTATAAATATTTTACATCTGCATCCAATTCATATACCAAATTTTAGTATCTCTGACCCTCCATCTCTTTTCTCCTACTCTGACCCTCCCAGGATCCAAAGGCCATTTCATTAGGAACATCGCTCTGAACCAGTTAAGTGTCTGACTCTTGGTTTTGGCTCAGGTCATGATCTCAGGGTCCTGGGATCAAGCCCCATGTCGGGCTCCCTGCTCAGCAGGGAGTCTGCTTCCCCTCTTTCTCTCTCCCTCTGCCCCTCCCCCCCATCCATGCACTCTCTAAAATACATAAATAAATAATACAATTTTTTAATCCAGTTATAAAATAAGTCATGGAGACAATGTACAATATGGTGAGCACAGCTAGTAATACAGTAGTGCACATTTGAAAGTTGCTAAGAGAGTAGATCTTAAAAGTTCTCATCACAAGAAACTGTAACTATGTGTAGTGATGGATGATAACCAGACTTATTGTGGTGATCATTTTGTAATATATACAAATATAGAATCATTATGTTGTACACCTAATATGTTATATGTCAATTAGACCTCAAAACAAAACAAAAAAAACCTAATGCTGTATTATCAAGTGCTGCTAGCTGAGGTATAGCAAAAATCCGGCTAAAGAAGAGCCCCACAGAGACTGGAGAATAGTACTCACAGGCAGAACCACTCTGATGCCTCCCAATACCAAGCATCATGAGCTACACTGAGATTATGATGGCCCAAAGATCCTATAGGAAAGGGACTAAGAGCCCAAGAAGGCACAGGACAATCAGAAAGGCAGAAGAGCGGAAAAGTGCCAGATTGGAGACTGTCAACGGTGATAGCTGGTCAACCACACCACAGGAATGTCAGAGGGTGAAACCTGAATTGTTTTCAGTCAATAATGAAGAACATTTAAAACATCATCCAAGTGAAAAGGTACTGCTAAAAGAAAAGGGTGATGATTCCAAGTAGTTTTCAAAAGAAAGTCTGAGAATGAATCACCTTTTAAATAAGCATTTTCTTCCCATATTTTCCCCAAACATGGTAACATGGTTAAATGGTTACTACTTACTAGTTAGCAAATGTTAAACGGTAAGTATTACTAGTTAGTAAATATTTATAGTTTTTATAAATATTAATAATAATAAATATTTACTAAACAGTTAATAACTATTACTAGTTAGTAAATAAGAAGGAAAATGGCAATAACAAAACCTAAAAATAAAAATGACTTTCTAACACAAAAAAGTCTAAAATCAAACATTGTCTTTGGTTAAATCTGAAATGTAAACACATCCAAAGCTTTTTGTTTTTTTTAAAGATTTTATTTATTTATTTGACAGAGACCGACACAGCGAGAGAGGGAACACAAGCAGGGGGAGTGGGAGAGGGAGAAGCAGGCTTCCCGCTGAGCAGGGAGCCCAATGCGAGGCTCGATCCCAGGACCCCGGGGATCCTGGGAACACTTAACGACTGAGCCACCCAGGTGCCCCCACATCCAAAGCTTTTAAAAAGCTTTAGATGATCATGTCATTAACCTACCTGAAGAGGCGTATACTTTCTTACTATCTGAAGAGAACGTGGATGCTGCAACCCTTCCATTAATTTTCATGCTACCAATCAGTTCTTTAGTCTGAAAGTATAACAAATATTACTTATCAAATTGTTAGGAGGTGCAAGAAGAATCACACTGGGAATAAAAACAATCTAGTTCTACTCAACTTTGTCCCTATACTCAAGTTCTCCCCAGGTCCCACTGTGCCCCTCTGCTTACAAGGCGGATTTCAGGACACCTTGAGTTTATGGTTCAAGACTATCCCTACACTAACGTCTTGTCCTAAAAAAACAAGCAACCACTAATAATGGTTCACCTTCATTGACAGCAAATGAAGATATCCAGCAACACCATTTATCAGCAAGAAGGACCCATCTGGAGACACTTCAAAGCTCCTCACTATCTTCTCTTTCAAACCTGAGAGAGGAGACAAATCAATAAGGATTAATATAATTTTCAATAATAATGTTATCAACACAATTGAGAATTTCTTTTAAAATATCTAAGTGCCTCAAACTAAACCAAAAGTAGGCTCAGATTCTGAATTAAGTCTGACCCCATGCATCACTGAGTATGACCCAAATATAAGGTCATTACCAAGTGCTTCCTTTTCTTCTCTGTCTTGGTTAACATTCACCATTTGAACTGCAGCCAGAGATTCAGCTCTCCAAAGAGTAAACATATCAACTAATTTTCCAAACGTAAACGGTGACATCTGTAATCAACTAAAAGGATAAATTATACTTCTTTGTCACAAAGTTCATTACCGGGAGGAAAATACACGGCCATCAGAAACAGCTAAAACACAGAAACATGTAGAAACTAGTTGCTGGGGACGCCTGGGTGGTTCAGTCAGTTAAGCGTCTGCCTTTGGCTCAGGTCATGATCCCAGAGTCCTGGGATCAAGTTCCACCATCGGGCTCCTTGCTCAGTGGGGAGCCTGCTTCTCCCTCTGTCTGCCGCTCCCCCTGCTTGTGCTCGTTCTCTCGCTCTCTGACAAATAAATAAATAAAATCTTTAAAAAAAAAAAAAAAAGGAGGGCGCCTGGGTGGCTCAGTCGTTAAGCGTCTGCCTTCGGCTCAGGTCATGATCCCAGGGTCCTGGGATCGAGTCCCACATCGGGCTCCCTGCTCTGCGGGGAGCCTGCTTCTCCCTCTCCCACTCCCCCTGCTTGTGTTCCCTCTCTCGCTGTGTCTCTCTGTCAAATAAATAATAAAAATAAAAAATCTAAAAAAAAAAAAAGGAAAGAAAGAAAGAAACTAGTTGCTGGCCACCAACTAGACATCCCATGATGAAGGAGTCTATAGTCTTAACTTTGTGGATCCAAAAAGGAAAAAAAAAAAAAAAAAGAAATCCACAAAGTGTCAGTGTATTCAAGAGTTGATTAGCTTCCCAAAATGTGACTCGTGTAACCTAATCACATGAGCTAAGAATATAAACAAGAGTCAATTTACTTATTTACAAAGGGACATGTTCCTTTTCCATGCCTAAAAGGCTCATATTGACCATGTAGAAAACTCCTTCCATCAAGACAGCGTAGTGAACAAACTTACTACTTAAAAAACTGCCTAATAGGAGCACCTGGGTGGTTCAGTCGTTAAGCGTCTGCCTTTAGCTCAGGTCATGATTCTAGGGTCTTAGGATCAAGCCCCATATCTGGCTCCCTGCTCAGCAGGAAGTCTGCTTCACCCTCCCCCACTCACCCTGCTTGTGTTCCTGCTCTCGCTGTCTCTCTCTGTCAAATAAATAAATAAAATCTTAAAAAAAAAAAAAAAAAAAACTGCCTAATAGAAAGGATGCACATAGAATACATACCACTGGCTAACTCTAGGGAAGGGAAGCAGGTGGCCAGGGAGACGGAGCAGAGTAGACTTTTCCCTCTTTACCCTTTGTACGTATTGGATTTTTGCACCATGTGAATGTACAGCTTGGTCAAAAAAAAATTATTTCAAAAAATGTTTAAGTTGCTAAGTTAAAACATTCATCAGAATAAGTAAATGTAGAAAACTCTAGTGAGGAGTCCTCATTCCCCTACAGGAAAATGCTGTCTAAGGCTCCCACAGACCACCTCCATCCTAGGAAGTTTTTGTCTAGATGGCTCACAATCCTACAAACTGGGCCTCCCTCCCACTCTAGTGCTGCCCCCAGAGACTACACCCTAGGTCTCTTGGTGGAAATCAATCCAGACACATATTTCCAGTTACTGGGGTTTATTCCTTCACTCTGAACCTACTCCTGTAGGTTCATCCCCCATTCTGGGCAAACCTTACACTCTTGACTACAGTATACAGAAACAGCTCCAAGCATAAGGAAAATCCCATCACATGAGGAAGCAGAGAAGGGAGGCTAGTTCTAGCAGTGTGGGGCTGCAGCTGGAAACCCCCCAGACCTAATCCTACTGACACAGAACTGGACAGAAGGAATGCAAGAGAGAACTGAAAGGCCTACAGCTGCGGACCCCACAGCCATGGACGGTTCGGACTGCACCACGTTATCGTCAGAGAACAGGGAACCAAGTCCCCTCACACTGTGCAGACACGGACCCGGTGTGGCAGCAACAGAGGCCAAGTGCCGGAGGGCTCATTACACAGCACCTGCTCTCCGGCCGCAGGGGCCCAAAGACCTCACGCTTGTAGCCTGAGCGAGCCTGTTGTTCTGAGGGCATTCAGGAGAGAGGGGTGTCTTCCAGAAGGAAATACCAGACTTGCAGCAAATAAGAGCAGGTAGCTGATTTAGGAATTAAATGAAAATATAAGAAAAATACAGAATACCAGTTACACGTATACAGCATTTTGCTTTTAACCTCGCAAAAAGTGGTAGCAGATGCGAGTACTGACGCTGTAACTGCTTTTTACAGATGCTGAACCTTCCAAAATAGGAACCAGATAAAATTTATATGACCTTGAGAAAGAAGATACTTTAAAGATGTCAGATATAAATCTTTGTGTAGTTCTGGGATGAGATTTTTAGGTCAACTAAAGAACAAGTGAGAAAAAGAATGGCAATTTAATTACAAGAGTGCCAAATTCCCTAAGATGGAAGGACTTGCTGTGATGGGATAGATCATATGCTGCTCCTAACGATGGCGGCAGTTACCACTAAGTGCCACGAGGTGCTAAGTTAGGAGCTTTTAAAAATTATCTCTTTTGAACAAACTGATGGTGACCAGAGGGAAGGGGAGTCGAGGGGTGGGGGGGAAGGCTGAACAAGGTGATGGGAATGAAGGAGGGCACTTGTCATGATGAGCACTGAGTGATGTATGGAATTGCTGAATCACTCCACTGTACACCTAAAACCAACAGAACACTGTATGCTAAGTGGAATTAAAATTAAAACTAGAAAAATAAAACTAAAAAAAAATCAAAAAATTAAAAATGATCTCTTTTAGTATTTAGGACCCTCGACTTTATAGAAAGAGAAAGCTGAAGCTCAGATATTACCGCACCATAACGCCTATAATCCAAATGGCTGCCTGACCAACTAATTCAATTCCCAAATGGTCAAATTCCTTGTTTACCTAGAACAAGGTATCTCTCTGAAGAACTGTCTTTCTAAATGATGCAGCAGAAATTGCTTCTGGAGTCTCAACTAGTAATCTGGGGTTCTCAACCTTTTTGTGTGTCAGTCTGGGGAAGCGTATGGTCCTCTTCTCAAAACAGTGGTTGTTCAAAACTTTTATAACCGAAGGAAATGCTAAACTTCAGTTATAGGTTAGTGAAAATAAAAATGTAATGTTTTTCCCATCTGACTTCACAAGCCTCTAAATTCTACCAGAGAATGTTAAGAGTCTGTGGACCCTGTTATGAACCCCATTGGGTTAATGGAACAAACCATCAATTCAGAATTCTTCAGAATGCATCAATTCTGTACTTCTCCATTTTTCAAACTTACACTTAAGACAAAGAGTTTGCAAATGTATAAGTTCACATGTTCTAGCCAGTCAGCGATTCTTCCCTCTAATTCTAATGTCCTTAATTAATTTTGAGTTATTTATAGTGTTTTATACTGAGACTGAAAATAGTGTTCAACAACCAACCCCACAAAAAGAAATTATTTACTTTATCATTATCATTACTGCCAAGCTATGCTCACTGAGGAAAGAGGAAAAGGGGAAACACTGACAGGGCAAGATAAATACCACGTCTTGGAAGAAGCTGGTGATCAGATGCACAACTCCTGTGTACCCGCAGATCCACGGTAAACATCACTAACTGTATCTTGGCCAACCCCGGGTTTGCTTTTCCCAAGAGGATGCAAGGCAAAGGCGGACAAAAGCCTACTCCTTTTCATTAGTGGAATAATATGTGAAAATAGTTAACAACTACATATTGTTTTCTGCTTCAATATGGGGGAAACTATTTAGGGCTTTTCAACTCAAAATGAGGTCCATGGACCAGCAACATCAGCATCACCCAAGAGCTTGTTAGAAATGCAGAATCAGGGCACCTGGGTGGCTCAGTTGGTTAAGCGACTGCCTTCAGCTCAGGTCATGATCCTGGAGTCCCGGGATCAAGTCCCACATCGGGCTCCCTGCTCAGCAGGGAGTCTGCTTCTCCCTCTGACCCTCACCCCTCTCATTCTCTCTCTGTCATTCTCTCTCTCTCTCAAAAATAAAAAAAATAAAAGAAATAAAAGAAATGCAGAATCAGGCCCACCTCAGACCTACAGAATAACAATATGCACTTTAGCCAGGTCCCCAAGTTGTTTTTATGCACATTAATGTCGGAAAAGCACTGGGTTAAAGCATGCTTAAACTTGGGACGCCTGGGTGGCTCAGCTGGTTAAGCGACTGCCTTCAGCTCAGGTCATGATCCTGGAGTCCTGGGATCGAGTCCCACATTCGGCTCCCTGCTGAGCAGGGAGTCTGCTTCTCCCTCTGACCCTCCCCTCTCTCATGTGCGCGCTCTCTCTCACTCATTCTCTAATAAATAAAATCTTAAAAAAAAAAAAAAAGCATGCTTAAACTAAGAATCCACTTGGAGGGCGCCTGGGTGGCTCAGGTGGTTGAGCGACTGCCTTCGGCTCAGGTCATGATCCTGGAGTCCCGGGATCGAGTCCCGCATCGGGCTCCCTGCTCGGCTGGGGGTCTGCTTCTCCCTCTGACCCTCTTCCCTCTCGTGCTCTCTGTCTCTCATACTCTCTCTCAAATAAATAAATAAATAAAATCTTAAAAAAAAAAAAAATCCACTTGGAAAGGAACACCAAAGGTGTCAGAAAACACGGCAAACAGAGACTGGAAACACTGAAGATAAACACCATAAATGTTTCTGAAGTTGGCCTTGTTCACTTTGATCCATTAGTAGAAAAAAGGCTGTACAGAGCTTCCCCTGTCCTTTACAGCCCCAAACATATATCCAGTTTAACAGGGAGACTGCCAGGGAGCCACAGCATTGTCAACACCCCCTCCCAAGACGCATAATGCTAACCCAGCCAACCTCACCACAAGGGCTTTGGTTCACAGAGGGTTCGTGAAGGTGTCACTGGATTATGTGGTGATGCGGGGAGGGAAATGCAAGGGAAGAACGGAGAAAGCAGAGGAAGATAAATTTTCAAATAATAAAGATTTTCTTAAGTAGTCTTTAAAATACATTACAATCTCCAAAAGCAGCGCTTTATTTCCTTTAAATGTAAACCAAAAAATCTATTGTAACAGACACTAGAAGGATAAGAGAGAATCCAAATTTCTTGAAGACCAGAGAGGTGCAATACTTTGAGGACTTGGGACTCAGGTCTTCTAGGTCCCAGGCGCTCTCTACTGCATCAACTGCTAAATTTACAGCCAAGCATCTGCAACTGCTTTTCTGCTCTGGGAGATACAGATTCCCAAATTCCAATGTTCCCAGAAGTGCTCAATAAAAAGTTCACTACTTTCATTCAAACACATTATCTCAACACAATGACATTTTCCCAATACTAAAACTAAAGACATTCTTAAGAATCCCATGGGGGGAAAGTGGTTGTAAATACTGTTAAAGAACTTAGCCGTGGGGCTGGCAGGGAAGAGGGGTGATCAGCGAAACCTTACCTCTCACTTGATGCACAGGAATTAACTTTCCAGCCAGCATATCGTAGACATAAAGAACCTTGCTGTGGATGCTCGTGGCTAAAACCTCTTCTCCAGTAGCACTAAAACAGGCCTTAAAAATTGGAAACTTTTCCAAATAGATGCTCTGGATTTTAGGATTTGTTTTTCCATCAACCTATAAGGAAACGCAAAACATCCCTTTTGGGTATGTCCATAGACTCTGTGCCCCGGGACTAAATACTTCTCACTCCAAGTTTCCATTTAAAAATGCACACCTGAGGGCGCCTGGGTGGCTCAGTCGTTAAGCGTCTGCCTTCGGCTCAGGTCATGATCCCAGGGTCCTGGGATCGAGCCCCGCATCAGGCTCCCTGCTCAGCAGGAAGCCTGCTTCTCCCTCTCCCACTTCCCCTGCTTGTGTTCCCTCTCTCATTGTGTCTCTGTCAAATAAATAAAATCTTAAAAAAAAAAAAAAAGCACACCTGAAATAGCGACACCGCGTTATCCAGCGCCGCAACCATCACGACCTGCGCACAAGGATGGAACTGCACAGACGAGACCCGCGCGGTAGTAGGACGTTCTGCGTTAGCAGGGAGACAATTCTTCAGCTATGGAAAAAGAAAGCGAGAATTGTTATCAATTCAAATGGGTTAACATTCTTTTCTTTTTAAGATTTTATTTATTTATTTGACAGAGAGAGAGAGAGAGAGAGAGGGAGTACAAGCAGGAGGAGCGGCAGACAGAGGGAGAAGCAGGCTCCTCGCTGAGCAGGGAGCCCGATGCGGGGCTCAATCCCAGGACCCTGGGATCATGACCTGAGCTGAAGGCAGACGCTTAATGACTGAGCCACCCAGGCGCCCCAACATTCTTTTCTTTAAAGCATAAAGCATTTTAACATAACTTATGCTGAGAAGAAAGGACAATGGAATGGTAACGAGAAGACCACAGCTCTCCTACCAACTAGGAAGTCATTTTACTAAACAATAATCCATTTTTACCATCTTTCAAACGAGGGGATGAAACCGTTAAGGTCTTGGAGCATCAGGATACAGTCATTTCCCCATGATACACCCAAATAGGTTAGGAAACTGACGTCCAGAGTATATTTTACTTAAAACTGCTACTGTAGCATCTTTGCATTCATGGCACAAAATACGAGGCAGTCTGTAACATGCCATGGTTCTGTGTTTGGCAGGGACAGCTATGTTCTTCTCTCAGAATACGTGGTTCCTAATTTAAAGAAATAATGACCTCATGCATCATGCATTTAGACTATTTTCAGTTATCTCTTGGTTTTTACAGGTTGTTCTCTGCATTACAAACTCAATTATACGAAAAATAAAGTGAGTACTACATGTATGTTTTGTTTATAACAAATGAAGTTAGATTTTTATGGTAACTGCATTTTCGGTGAAGGTGAATTTACTCTATGAAGAGCGGAGTGAACTATCTTCATAAGGTGGGGAGAAACACAATCATTGTCTCATAGTAATTTGCCATAATAGGGCTCCCTCCCCCATCTAAAGCATGCTACCATTTATAATGGGGAAAAATATCTATGCCAGAGAGAGATCTGGTCACTTAACAGATATTTAACTGAAGCACTGTGTTGGGCAGGCACTTCATTACCACAAAGAACAAGTCAGATACAGTCTAACTAGTGCAGACCACTTTAGACAAGATAGCCAGGAAGAACCTTTCTAAGTGTCATCTGAGCAGAAGGGTACCAGTGGGTTGGCCATTAGCAGTGCTTGAAGAACAGACAGGCAGGGGGAAGAGCAAAAGTTCTGAGGCAAGAAAGGACTCGGCGTGTTCAAGAAACAGGAAGAAGGCCTAGGGAACTTGGGTAGGAAATAAGGGGAAAACTTCTGAGATGAAGTTTCAGACATACGCAGATGCCAGATTATGAAGAGCAGCATACACTGTGATAAAGAATTCGGAAGTTTTCAAAAAGCTATGAAAAGTGACATGACCTGATGTTTTATTTTTAGAAGACCCCTCCTGGCTTCTACTAAATGAAGAATAGGAAGAGTAGAGTGGAAGTGGGAGACCAATCACGAAGTGACTGCAGTACACAAGGTAACAGAGGATGGCAGCATAAACTAGGCTAGCGCCCGTGGAAATGAAGAGAAACGCAGGAGAAATCAAACACAATTGCTAAAAGATCCCTGGGGATATAATTTAATCTTCTTGACCATTTCTGCAGAATAATAAACGAAAGCAACACATTTAATCCCACAGAGAACATGAACCCATACATTTGTAATCGGGAAGCACACTGGGCGTCAGGGGTAGTCAGCTGGAGAGGCCCCACTTTGCTGACTCTCACCTTTAAGATTCCTTTAGGAAGAGAGGTTGATGTAGATATGAAATTCCCAGTCCTTTGCAACAAATCATCTTCGTCCTCTTCACTTTCATCTAAGTCAAACAGACCCACAAGGCAGAGCTTTAGAATCAAGGAGATGGCCATTACCTTCCCCAAACGTATTTCAAACTTTGACCCCCCCATTCTAGCCTCCAATCTCGATCACTTTATTTAAACTGCAACTGGTAAAAGTAAAACAGAACAAATCTGAAAGGGAGGGGGAAAATGACAGAGTCCAATATATTTGGTTAAAATAAAAGCCTGACTCTGGAATGAAAAATAGACATTCACAGACAATGACTAAAACAGGATGAAAAAAAATAAAGTTAAAGGCAGTATTTAATTTAAAAAGAACAATTCATCATCATGGCAAAATTGGCAATAAGGGAGACAGCAGATCTAGCTTAACTCACATGAAAAAGGACTAGCACTGAGGGATCAAGGTCAGCAAACTGTGTATCAGAACTTCAAAGGGAGCTAACAGGGATGCTTTTCTCCTGATGATTCTAGTAAAGAGAGCCAAAAAGCTGAGCAACAATTTTAAAACACTCAGAGGGAGAAGAGGGCAAAAACCAGCACTAAAAGCCCTCTAAGGTTCTTAAGGGGGTCTGGTAAACCACCAGGCTTCAGGTTGGGGCCACAAAAGGCTACACCAAGGAGTAAGGGTGAAATCAAAGAATTTTAAGAAAATCCTCCATGAACTGAAACCCAGCTTTGAATCCTTACAATCTCTCACTGGAGTAAGATGCTGTGGGATTGCTAGTGCCCCTTACCCAGCCACTACCCAGAAACAAACGTACAAATTCTCCAGAGAAAGATATCCTTGTCCTCTTGTTAAGCAACACTATTTTTTATATACAATGTCCAGCACTCAGGGAAATATAACTAGACCAATAATTACAAGATAATGTAACTTGATTGAAAACCTAAGGAATAATAGTCTCCACAGGAGATCTAAATAACTGAGTTTTTCAGACATAAGCTTTTCAAGTATTATGTTTAATATGGTCAAGAATAATGAATATTCAGATATTGAACCAAAGAACTAGACTATTAAAAAAAGCAAATGTAAATTCTAGAACTGAAAATTACGGTAGTTAGGGCGCCTGGGTGGCTCAGTTGGTTAAGCAACTGCTTTCGGCTCAGGTCATGATCCTGGAGTCCCTGGATCGAGTCCCGCATCGGGCTCCCTGCTCAGCGAGGAGCCTGCTTCTCCCTCTGACCCTCCCCCCTCTCATGTACTCTCTCTCGTTCTCACTCTCTCAAATAAATAAATAAATCTTTAAAAAAAGAAAAAAAAGAAAATTACAGTAGTTAAAATTAAAATCCCAGTGGGTATTTTTAATAGCCTACAAAAATTAGCTGGAGAGACAATTAGTGGTCTGGAAAATGCATCAGAAAAAATATCCAGACTGAAGTACAGAAAGCAAAAAGGACAGAAAATGCAGAAAAGAACACAAAATACATTTAAAAAAATAAATAAAACATTGAACACACATGTAACTGGTGTCCCAGAAGAAAAGACTGGAACAGAAACAGTATTTGAAGACAATCGGTGAGAATTTCCAAAACTTAAAAAAGACATCAAGCTAGATTCAAAAGCATTGTGAAGACCAAGCAGAATACAAAGCAAGCTAAAAGGACCTGGGGGGGGGGGGGGGGAGATAAATGAACAAAACAGCAATAATAAAACAATCCATCATATTAAGTAATTATTATTGATTTTTGAAGGCCTATAATGATTGTAATTATGTTTAAAGTGGGGAGTACTTCTCTTTTAAAAACACTAGATGAAATATTTATCGATAAAAATAACATGTTGGGACAACTGTGAGGCTGGGGGTTTGGTCACCACTGTGCCAAGAAGTACATCTTGGACAAGTCACTTTTATCTTTTTGAACCTCACTCCCCTCACCTGTAAAATGAAGGTAGACCAGGATATCCCAATAGTAGCAGACAGGCTAATGAGTGACTTAATCCATTTCTTTTTTCTCGTGGATACAAAGACAAACTGCATTTCCTGGGAGCCCATGAATTAGTGTGGCCTTGTGACTCAGCTCTGGCCAATAAAATCTAAGTCAAAGTACCATGTACCACTCCCAGGACAGGCCAATAAAAAGAGGCCAATAAAAGCCTCTTTTGGGTGAGCTGCTCACTCTTCCCCGTAAGCTGCCATGTCAACCTCTCGGGCAACTTAAAGCACATCATCTCCTTCTCACCACCACAATTTCATATGCTTGAAAAAAAACAACTTCTATTGGATAAATCCACTGGGACCTGGAAGGTTTTCTGTTTCAACAGCTAGCATAACGTTACCTATAATTACATGGATCCAAATGTTCTATGAAGGGGCACCTGGGTGGCTCAGTCAGTTAAGCATCTACCATCCGCCCAGGTCATGATCCCAGGGTCCTGAGATCAAACCCATGTCTCAGGCTCCCTGCTCAGCGGGGAGTCTGCTCCACCCTCTCCCTCTGTCCCCCTCTCCCCCTGCTCATCTCTCTCTTAAATAAAGTAAAATCTTTAAAAATAAAGTAAAATAGACTACAAATGCAGCATTCTAAAATGGGTAATAAAATTATATTTTATAAAGGAGGGCAAACTGGTAACCAAGGAGGTAAAAATCATATAATGGGGGCGCCTGGGTGGCTCAGTCGTTAAGCGTCTGCCTTCCGCTCAGGTCATGATCCCAGGGTCCTGGGATCGAGACCCGCATGGGGCTCCCTGCTCAGCAGGAAGCCTGCTTCTCCCTCTCCCACTCCCCCTGCTTGTGTTCCCTCTCTCGCGGTCTCTCTCTCTGTCAAATAAATAAATGAAATCTTTTAAAAAAAAATAAAATAAAAATCATATAATGTAAAAAAAGGTTAAAAAATAAGGGATGTTAAACTTGTTAAAAACCAAACTTGGAGGGGCGCCTGGGTGGCTCAGTCGTTAAGCGTCTGCCTTCGACTCAGGTCATGATCCCAGGGTCCTGGGATCGAGCCCCACATCGGGCTCCCTGCTCGGCAGGGAGCCTGCTTCTCCCTCTCCCACTTCCCCTGCTTGTGTTCCCTCTCTCACCGTCTCTCTGTCAAATAAATAAATAAAATCTTTAAAAAAAAAAAAAAACCCAAACTTGGAAAGACATTTCTTCAACAACAGAGTTTTACAGGAAACAAGAGGTAAAATAAACTGTATACTTTTTTTTTTTTAACTGTATACTTTTTAAAGGTAGGACTACAGAATGTAGGGAGGTAAATTTCGAAATTGGAAAAAATTCTAACAATTAGTTCTTAAGGAAAAGAGAAGAGGGAAAAACAGTCCAGTAAAGAGTACAGCATTATTCGACATGTTTAAGCAGAGGCTAAATTACCATCTAACAGATGTTGTAGAAAAACATTCTTGCAGTGGATAAATTCAGGCTATACCACAAAGCTTCCTTTAACCTCTAAAAGTATCTGGCTGGAAACCAGAACAGAATTTTGACTTAGTAACAGATTGAGTTTTCTAACAGAATTACAGAAAACAACTGGTTCTTTATATGGACTCCCTGTACCTGAATACCATAAGGCCTGGACTAACAGGGGCAGGGAGAAGGGAGGGAAAGGTGGGGGAGGTAATAGAACAGAGGCTCATCAAAAATCAAGGATGCTAAGGAGAGAGCTACTGCATTATGTGGGAGGATAGACTCCTACACTCCAGACTCTCTAAAGGACTTCAAAAGTCAATTCCAAGTCTAAAATGTATAACTCCAAGCACCCAAATCAGATCTTGGTAAGCTATCCACATTTATAATATCTAAACTCAAGAATCTAAAAAGGATAAAGCAGTTATGGTACAAGCCAAACTTAAAACCTGGAGGTGAACAATAGGTGTTTACAAAGTGACTGATCATCTGGGCCTGACTGGACATGTGCTATATTAGCTGCCAATGTCTTCAGAAGGGGTTCTGAATGAAGAAGAATAGTTATTTTTCCTTAATCCTATGCCATAACACAACACAGTTCTGTTGAGAATCAAACATCATAAAATTCATCCCTTACTGTCCATACAACAGACAAATGCTATTAAGTCAATCTTACACTATTGTAAAAGAGCTTCCCTCAGAGAATTGGTAGACTTCGGAACCAAACATTTAAAGGAGAGAAAAAAAAAAAGACATATTTGAAACACCAGGTTTTAACGAGCCTCATGAGAAAGCTCACAGAACAGAATAGGAACAGAGATTTATTTACTAACTTAAACAGAAATACCAATACTCACCATCTGAAGATGTTTTCCGCTTATTAGTCTCTGCCCAGGCAGGTACTCCCCCCATGGCATGCTGGAATCTAAACAAAAATACAAAATTTCATTTTTGTGTTAATAAATGCTCACTGAGCTTACAAGATTAGATTAGCTCACCTTGAGAGCACGTATACAATCTCTGCCAAAGAAATTATTATGTTTAAGAACAGAAGGACTACACAGAATAATCCCAACTTGCCTATATGGGAAACTTTCGTGAACTTCTAACCGTTTCAACTAGTCTTGGATATAGGACACCTGGATACATATTTGTTAATTATTTTTGTCTAGTTACACGTCTGCTTATTTGTTCATATCAACACATCTCAGATCTTGGGACTAAGTAAAGAACTCTGTGGTTGGGTGCCTGGGTGGCTCAGTTGGTTAAGCTACTGCCTTCGGCTCAGGTCATGATCCTGGAGTCCCAGGATCGAGTCCCGCATCGGGCTTCCTGCTCAGCAGGGAGTCTGCTTCTCCCTCTGGCCCTCCCCCCTCTCATGCTCTCTCTCTCTCATTCTCTCTCTCAAATAAATAAATAAAATCTTTAAAAAAAAAAAAAAAAGAACTCTGTGGTTATAAACCAATGCTACAGTAATAGAGCACACAGTAAAACACATCTGAGAGAAAATGACCAGGTTGGTAAGAATATACAAAACACAATCACATATCCTTCGAATAAAATTGGAGCATTTCACTCAGGAAAAAGTAAGCTTTACAAGCATGAGAAACAGATTCTGAAGGGCTAGTTTCTGGAAGAGTGCACAGTGTCATTCTAATTGTTTAATACAGAAGTACAAAGCCACCAAACTCAGCCCACTGGCCATAAACAACTAGAAAACTAGACAAAATACATGAAACTGTTTCCAAAAATTGGACAATAAACAACATAAGATTGCGATCCCTGAGAGAAAGGAAATAACAAGGTGAGCGCTGTCATCCCAAGATTTTCCCCTGAAGGCAATTTTTTGAGACCCTGGCACAGAACTAATGAGAAAAAGTCAGACCTGAAAGAGCCTGAGACAACTGGAATTTAAGGGGCAGTGAACAAAAGAAGAGAAAAAGAAAGAGCTCCAGGCGCCTGGGTGGCTCAGTTGGTTGGGTGACTGACTCTTGATTTCATGGTTGTGAGTTCAAGCCCCACATTATGGCTCCATGCTGGGTGTATAGCCTAATTAAAAATTAAAAAAAAAATTTTTTTAAAGGATTTGCCTTATTAAAATATAAGTGAATAAAAAATAAAAATAAATTTCAAAAAAATGGGGGGCACCTGGGTGGCTCAGTCAAGCACCCGACTCTTGATTGTGGCTCAGCTTTTTTCTTTTTTTTTTAAGATTTTATTTATTTATTTGAGAGAGAGCTAGAGGGAGAGCACAGAGGGAGAGGGAGAAGTAGACTCCCTACCAAGCAGAAAGCCTGACACAGGGCTCGATCCCAGGACTCCGAGATCATGACCTGAGTCAAAGGCAGACGCCCAACTGACTGAGCCACCCAGGAGCCCCTCGGCTCAGCTCAGGGTCGTGAGTTCAAGCCCCATGTTGGGCTCCATGCTGGGCGTGGAGCCTACTTAAAACAAAAAAGCTCCAAAAATCTACACTGGGGTCCACAGACATTTTTGCTGAATACTAAGCTGCACATTCAGAGGATGAAACTCCATGAGGTCAGGCAAAGAACTACGAGGGAGCCATAAGTTGCACACCAGAGTTGAGACACTTGAGTTCCAACCAGCAAGCGAAGGTTGGAAACTCAGAGCATTCAGTAGAGATGGCAAAAAGGGCATATCTTAGAAATGGGGCTAAACCAGCCTACAGCAAATGCTACTCTACAGCAAAACTAAGAACAAATCCTAAAAGGATCAAACTAATCTCTAAGCCGATCAAACTCCTGCCAAGACAAACTCATTAAAAGTACTCACTCATTCAATATTCACTCATTCAACACTCATTAAAAGCAAAAATCAAAATCCAGACATTGATCAACTTAATATTCACATTGCCCCAAAATCCAATCAAAATTTCTAGACATGCAGAGAAGCAGAAAAACATGAACCATAACCCGAACAAAAATCAGTCAAGAGAAAGACACAGAAATGACAGACATGACAGAAATAGGATACAAGGACTTTGAACTAGCCAATACAAATGAAAAAATGCTCAACATCACTCATTATCAGGAAAATACAAATAAAAACCATGATGAGATACCATCTCACACCTGTCAGAATGTCTAAAATTAACAACAGAGAAAACAACAGACGCTGACAAGGATGTGGAGAAAGGGGAACCCTCCTACACTGTTGGTGGGAATGCAAACTGGTGCAGCCACTCTGGGAAACAGTATGGAGGTTCCTCAAAAAGTTAAAAATAGAGCTACCTTATGATCCAGCAATTGTACTACTAGGTATTTACCCAAAGTATACAAAAATACAGATTCGAAGGGGTACATGCATGCTGATGTTTATTTATAGCAACATTATCATCAATAGCCAAACTATGCAAAGAGCCCAAGTGTCCATCGACTGATGAATAAAGGTGATATATATAACGACCGAGCCACCTAGGCACCCCATGAAGTCATTATTTTTAAAAATACATACATTTCCCAGCTCTGTTCAACTAAAAGAGCCTAGAAGTTATGGAAAAGAAATGGTTTACCATATACAAATAGACAAGCAAGTAAGCAATATCATCACTGATTATGTGTGGGTGGTAGGATTACCAGATTTTCCAAAATTTTTTGTACTTGTGTTCCCACTCCCTACAAAATACTAAAACTTACACCATTTCTTCCAGTAGCAACACTCCTACTACTTCAAAATGGAAATCTCACTACCTAAGAAACTGTTACAGCCAAAGACTCAGTGAATCTAAATAAACCACTGATTATAAGTTACAGCTTGGTAAATCACATGGAAAAGGACACTTACTCTTCCTTAAGTCTCTTTTGAAGCTTGTCTTTTGAAAGTTTACTTTCACTGGCATTTTTCATCATATCTTTCCGAAACCGGTTGCTCATCATGTCAACCCTATTAAAAACAAAACAGTATGCTTTAAATGACTTTAAAAGATTCGTCGTAGCTAGTTGTTGCCTTTAAAAATCTGAGAACACATTTAATCAAATATAAGTCAAGATTTATAAGGTACAGAATATCAAATACACATTAATTTTTTTAAAAAGATAAACACGTAATAGAGAATGCTCTGAAAGAATACCAATGAGTAATGACAAAAATCACACCAATTAAATAGTTATTTCCCGCCCATTAAACTGACAAAGTCTGAAAAAAAGATAAAGCGTTGTTTATAAGAATGGAGTGAAATGGACACCTTTCAATTGGAAAGGTAAACTGGGAGAACCTCTTGGTCAGTCTGGCAATTTTTATCAAGAATCTTACACATGCCTATGCCCTTTGATTAAGTAATTCTACCACGGAAAATTTTTCTTACAGAAATAATTAGAAAGGAAAAAAGGTTTATGCAGAAAAATATCTGTCTCAATATCAACTTATCAAAGGGAAAAATAGGAAAACCTATCTGTCTAATGATACCTATACAAATTATAGTTAATTCATATAGTAGACTATAATATAACCATTTAAAAACGTTTATAAAGGTTTTTATTTTTAAGTGGAGATAAATGCTTGCAAGACAATACATTCTCATCTCTTACAAGTATAATATTGAGTGTGCTAGGCTTTTTTCTAGCCTTTTCTCAGTTTCAGACATTGTGCTAAGAGCTCCACATACATTATTTCACTTAATCTCAAGAGCCTTCTGATATTACTATTATTACCTCCATTCGAAAGAGAAAAGGGAGGTTCCAAACTTGCCCTTGGTCACTTAGGAACTGGCCAAATTAAAAGGCAAACTCAAATGTGACACCGAACACTATGCTTTCTTTGCTATTCGATACTGCACACAAGAGAAGAGGGCCAACATGTTAACATCAGTTCTCCCTCGGTGGTGGGTTTATGAATGACCTCTTCTCTCTTCTGCTTTACAGTATTTTTTAAATCTTCACGTAATCACGTATTTGTAAGACAACTTCTTTAAAACTTACAAAATAATTTTTTAAATATCCAGAGGATTTCTGGAAGAAAAATTAGGCAACCTACATTTCATCATCTTCATCTTCTTCATCCACCCAAACTGGCTTCTTTTGGAATAGAAAATTATCTTTTGCTTCATTCTCCACTTCCAAGTCACCTGAGTCTTCCTGTACTTGAACCTAGAGAAGACAAAATGCCCTCAAGCACTGAGTTTTTCAGCAGACGCACACACCTTACAGTTAGAGGTCTTGTAGAATGCTTTGCAGGCCCTCTGATGGAACAATGGGACAGAATACTACCACAGCAAATGCTGGAGGCAGAACAGAAAATGCAGAGATGAGAGAATGGCACCATATGCTGGACAGGCAGGTAGGACAAACAGTCAAGGAGCGAAAGCTGACATCTGAAAGGAGAGGACCAATTAAGATGGGAACAACAAAAGTTGACAGAGGAGGAAAGGAGTTGCAAAAATCCCAGAACTACAGAAATCATGGGGCCAGAGGCAGACTAACATCAAAAATCACGTGACTGAATACCATAACTAATGGGCATTTTACATTCTTTTTTTTTTTTTTTTTTTTTTTTTTTGAGAGAGAGAGAATGAGAGGGGTGAGGGTCAGAGGGAGAAGCAGACTCCCTGCTGAGCAGGGAGCCTGATGTGGGACTTGATCCCAGGACTCCAGGATCATGACCTGAGCCGAAGGCAGTCGCTTAACCAACTGAGCCACCCAGGCGCCCCGGCATTTCACATTCTTAGACATACCTCTTCTCCATCGTTCATAACCATTCTTGACCCCCTATCTTAAGAAAATTTACACTAGACTATCAGATCTAAATCTACACCACAGAATACTCCCAGAAGTTGAGCGTGAACTTTCCCCAAAACCACTAATAGCCATATCCAAATATTTTCTTGCTCGTCTGTTATGAGCCTCACATAGACTGTTCCTTTTTCTTGAAATATTTTTTCTTGACTATGCAACTGTCCCAAAGGCCAGCAGTTTTCCATTAACAGTTCTCTATCTGCCAACGAGATTTCTGCAGCTTCCCTCATAAGCACCCAAAGGAAATACTGACAGCCAACTGACACTGGCCACTTGCGAGGTGGGCATTCATTTACCAAACGGAGTATTCTCGGTGAGGCTTTGCTTGGTCATGCTATGTAAAAGTTCCCCGGCCTCTACACACACTCATCTTCCTTTCCCTAAAATGCTTTCTTTTTTTTCCTCTTCAGCACACATCACTGACATATTTGCATTTTACTTTATCTTCTTTTTCTGCCACTGGTACACATGCTCCAAAAGAGCAAGAGACCTTTGTCTGTTTTTGTCCATTGCTGTGTCTCCTCCATTGCCTAGAACAGTATCTGGAACTCCCTATCTTGGAAGAAAAATCAGGTACAGCATACAAGGAATGATTACAAATGTCCCCAAAAAGTTATTAAAAAACGTGCAAAAAGGATAAAAAGGGATGATAAAAAGTATGCAGGGTTTTCACTGCCAGAAAAACATACGGCCCCCAACAGACTAACAATGATCTGGTGAGCAAATACACGATCATTCTCAGAAGTTGGCCAATCACTTGGGAAGCTGTTAAAACCCACATTCTGATTCCATAACTCCTGAATCACGGCAAGGTACTGAGGCAGGGGATCGAACGGCCACGAGGAAAGAAACACTGGGTTTGGAGAGAGCACAGTGGGACTGAGCCGCTAAAAATGCTCACGACTGCAGTTCGCTACACGTACGTGTAAAAGCGCCTGCTGGATACCAGGCGCAGGGGCTCCCCCCCCCCCGGGGGCGGAGAAAGGCGAGGTCTCCGCCCAGCGGAGACTTCCAGTCTGGCACCCGTCGGCGCCCGCGTTCTCCGGGCGCCCGCCGACCTGAGCGCTCCCGGCGCCGCAGGTCGCCCAGGCTCCGCCCCCGGAGGCTCACCGCCCACCGTGCGCCCCGCCCGAGCGCGCCCAGCCCGCGCGCCGCGGCCTCCCTCACCCGCGAGCCCTGCAGACGCCGCAGCAACGCGTCCTCGTTGTCCTCGACATCGCCGAACACCAGCTCTTCCAGGCACCGCTCCACGGCCGGCTTGTCCTCCTCCAGCGTCAGGCGGTTCCGCTGCCGGAGCCGTCTCTCCTCCTCCGCCGCGACTGCGATCGCAGCGGCTGCTGCGCTCGGCCGGGCCGGCGGTTTCCGCTGGGATGAAGGAGCAGCCTTTCGGGGCGGCCCGCCCGGCCCTGTTCCGGCTCTCCGGTCCGGCTTCGTTCGGCTCTTCCGGTCCAGCCTCACTCCGCTTCTCCGGTCCGGTTTCGTTCGGCTTCTACGTTCCGGCGGCATCGTTGGGTTGGAGAAGAAACGCAGGCGCTCACGTGGAACCTCGCTGCGCGTGCGCCGAGGTCGTTGGATTTCCGCGGCCGCTGAGGCCCCGCGGGGTCGGAAGGAGCCTGCGCGGTCTGTTAGCACGTGACCAACACTCTCTCCCTACGTAGCGCCCACTCCCCTCACCAACCCCTCCCCGTAGGGGAGTTCCTCCGGGAGGACCAATCTTCCGAGTGGAGGGGGAAGCGGCGTGACTGGAGTGGAAAATTTTTTCCAACACAACTTCGCAGCCGCAACTGACTGAAAGGAGCACAAGGAAGCGAGAGTATAAGCTGGGATGACTGAATGAAACTTCCACTTTTCTTCCTGACTTTTTAACCACTCGACTTAACACGAGCCGCGGTTGCCTTTTCCACCCCCTCGTCTTGGTACGGCCCTTGGAGTACGGAGCCTGCAGAGGGTCCCACGCTGGAGGAGAGAGAGAGGAGGGTATGTAGGGAAGTGGGCCAATCGGGGCGCGGGTCACGGCGCAGGCGCGCTGGGGAGGGAGGGCTATGCTAATGTTGTTGATATCCTGGGGCCACCCGAGTTAAAGGGGGGAAATCCGGGGGCTGCCGCAGCCGCCACCGGTCTGGGCCCAGCGGGGGCCCCCCTGTAGTCGCCGTAGTCCCGGGGAGAGGCGCCTGCCCCCAGCTCGGGGAGGGGGCGCCGCGGGCCCGGGGAGCACGGACAGCCCCTACCCATGAGGCCCTGATGGAAAACACAAAGGATCTGGTGAGAGCCGAGCGCGGCAGCCGCTTTGTGTGCCAGGTGGGGGGGACGCCTGCAGCTCCCCGACCCCAGGAGCCCCTGCAGCTCTTTGACCCCGCTCCCAGGCCTGTTTCTCCATCCCACGCCCCCTCAACCTCCAGAGTCCCCCTCCCCCTACCGGCCGTTAAACGATTCGGGGGTTCCCCTCCCCCCACCCCCTCAGCCCCGGACTCGGCGGGGTTCTCTCTACTTCCTCCACTCTTTGGGAGAAAAATTTTAGAAGAAAGTTTTTCTCTGCGTCCCGCCCCCCCCTCCCCCTTCAGCTCTGGCTGGTGGAGGCGGGGGGGGCGGGGGGGGAGGCTGGATTTGAGACTTTTCCTTTTTTAGCCGTCCAGGGTGGGAGAGTGGAGTCCTCACTTGCCCCAGAGGGGCCTAGTCTGGGTGCTTTGCGGGGGAAGGTGCCTCTCCGCTCCGGGGCGAGTGCCGCGAGGCATTTCGCACGTGGAGGTGGAAATACTGAAAGGGGGCGGGGTGGGCACGTGTGGGAGTGGTGTTTGGGAAGCAGCCACCTGGGCCGCTTCTTTAAAAGGGTTCTAGGTTGGGGGGCTTTCGGGACCATTGCGTTCTCTTTTGTGAAATGAGAATCCTAACGTTTCAGAGTCGGAAGAGACATTAGAGGTCACCCAAAGCAGCCGTCCCCTCTGCAGCCTCTCTGACAAGTGGTATGTAGTCTGGCGTTTGCTTGAACCCTTACCAGCACTGAACGCTCTCTGCTGCCCAGGAAAGCCCGTTCCGTTCGAATTGTCGTTTGCATGCCCTTATTACACCCTTCAGTCTCATTCATGTCCTTGTTAAGTTGCTCCCTTTTTTACTTCTCAAATTTTCTCTCACATCCTCCTCACCCACCCACCGCTCATTGGCCTATATTCTGTGAGCCAGGAGAGAACAGCAGGGAAGTGGAGGAAGGAGGGTTTGCGAGATAGTGAGGGCCAGCTGAAAACTTCGCTGGGTCATTTTCAGATGCGCTGGCTTGTATGTCTGAGAGTGGTTGATGTTTTTCTACAGGAAGCTTGGGAATTACAGTCTGGGATTTCACGGTCGTTTTCTCTCACTAGTGCATCTTTTCGTAGGTAGAAAATTCAGCAACACCTCTGTATTTCTCCTCTCTCAAAGCACATTTGCTTGTTGCCTAAATCACTTTCCCTAAAGCTGCCTCAGTTGTCTTCTGGGGATAGTACTGAAGCTGTTAGAAGCACCTCCTGGTACAGACGTGGTCAGAACTGTCCCCCCCGCCCCTTCCTTTTGACCTGTGTCTTCGCTTCTTCTCAAAGCCCCTCCTTCACAATATTTTCATTTCTTTCTTTATTATGACTTACTTTTGCAGTTCTCTCATTATGAGATTTGAAATTTTTGGAACACTTTTATATTTGCTTACAGTTCGCAGTAGTTTTCATATTCTTTACATTAGTATGTGCCATTTATCACTCAGTCGTTGAGGTAGTTCCCTTTCTGCTGTTGTCAGTTAACGTTTTTCTAATGTTCTTCATTTGCTGAGCTGTGCTGCCTCCAAAAGTAGTTTTATTGGCATAAGGATCTTCAGGGCACTTGTTCTTCCTCTTCCTAATATAGTGAAGTGGAGTCAAGACATAACAGATAAGATGTAGAAGTAATGAATCTGGTCTAAAAGCCAGAGAATAAATTTCCTCTTAAACTACCAGTCCCCAGTTTAAAATACTGAAACACAGACATTTTTCTCTCTCCCCATGTCATGACTTAGAGACTCTGCTCTGCTCTACCATGCTTACTTAGACTGTATTCTTTTTGTTTACCTCAACACCAATGAGTGTTTAGAAAGAAAAGAGCTGTCTTTTTTTTTTTTTTTTGGCACCATCTCTTTCTCTGAATAACAAGTAGCTTCTATTTGTATAGAACCCCCTCTGAAGGCTTCTGGGTACCTTGCAAATTATGGCAAGAGTGTCTTGAATAAGTATTTGTCCATGAGTATCTTATGTTGGGCCATGTTTTTCAACAATCCAATTTTTAATTTTATAGTTTGACATCAGTTTCACTAGAATTTAACATGGAAATGAATACTACGTACTTAAAAAAACTGATAGAGCTGTGTAATTCTGTCTTTAAAGTTCTAATTACTGTGGAGTTCCAGGTTATTTTCCAGCTGACTTTAAACATGAACTGTCATGACTTGAGCTGATTGACTTTGGAGACATTTGCATTCTGAACATACTAGACAGGAACAACTGGTTTTATTTTTAAAGAAGACACTGTTGTATTTTTTGTGACTGGTTATATGGTGACCTCATTAGAGTCTAAACCTTGCTACATATTCAGATGCTTTTAGGCCCTCAAATTGTTTGAAAATATAACAGTAGTCAAAAAAAGGTAGAGCTGTAGGTTACAAGTGAAAACAGCATATTAATGTCATAAATACGAACCACTAGATTACTGAAAGCCAAGAGTGCTCAGTGGTTTGAGTGACCATATTCTAAAATTAGACAAGTCACTATTTTTTGGTTGCTCCTTATTTCTGTTCTCATTTTTAAAATGTTTGCTGAAAAAGATATAACCTTTTCACATTTAAATATTAAGGTAAGCGAGTTAAAATGTAACATTAGTTTCAGGGTTTCAAATCCAAGAGAAAGATGAAAACATCAGGTCAGTAGAAGAGGAGGAGTTAAAATAGTTAAACAAGATAAGATATGTCTCCTAACACTGGGGTATAAGTAACTGTCCAACACTACCTTTAGTTTTTTATAAAAATTACAGATTGGTGGGCGCCTGGGTGGCTCAGTTGGTTAAGCGACTGCCTTCGGCTCAGGTCATGATCCTGGAGTCCCGGGATCGAGTCCCACATCGGGCTCCCTGCTCGGCAGGGAGTCTGCTTCTCCCTCTGACCTTCCCCCTCTCATGTGCTCTCTCTCTCACTCTCTCAAATAAATGAATAAATAAAATCTTTAAAAAAAAAAAAAATTACAGATTGGTTTAGATTTAATCATGATTTTTAATGACTTTTTTTTTTTAAGATTTACACACACACACACACAGATTTAGACTTTTTCTTCTTTTTTTGCTGGAACCCCCAAGAAAAGGTGGAAAGGAAATAATTCCTATATGAAAAAGCCTGATTTGAGGTGGGATGAAATGATATAGTAAGAGAGGTACGGGCAGACTAGGTTCGTGTTTCAATTCTGCCACTGACTAGCTTCATAGCACTTGTCAGATGAAATTCTGGGCCTCAGTTTTCTCATCCTCATAGTGGAAGGGCTGGTCTAGAATCAGCATTGACCAACAGAACTTTGTGCAGTGATAGGAATGTCTTATATGTGTGTTATCCAATATGGCAGCCACTAGCTACACCTGGCTGTTGGGCACTTAAAAGGTAGCTAGTGCAATGGAAAAATCCGGTTTTTTCGTTTAATTTAACCAGTGTAAATTTAAATAGCCACAGGTCTGCCATGTTGGACATGCAGATGTAGAAGAGCATTTTTCCAAACTTACCTAATCATTAAAACCACCTCTTGGGGCTCTTGTAACCATATAAAACCTCTCTCCCAGTGATTATCATTCAAAAGGTCTGCAGTGGGGCCTAAGACTCTGTTTTTAATGCACACCCGAAAAAGTTTTTATCAGATTGATCAGGGAAGTACTGCATTTGAATATTTCTAAACTCCCTTTTAGTTCTCACGTTAGTATTGATAACTTAAAATTTAACGTAGTGGAAATAAGCTCTGGACAAAGTTGGCAAACTGGCCAGGCTCTCACTCTCCAGCTCCTGACCTGTGATCTTAAGTTGCTTAACCTCTTCAGGCGTCATCTTTCTCCCCTAACTGTGGGTCGAGCTTCAGCCCTACCTCACTCCCAGGGTTTCTGTAAACCAATCAGATGTGATGACCAGCATACAAGAAATTGTGAGCTGCTATAAAGTATTAAGATATCTTTTCAGGGGCGCCTGGGTGGCTCAGTTGGTTAAGCGACTGCCTTCGGCTCAGGTCATGATCCCAGGGTCCTGGGATCAAGTCCCACATCGGGCTCCCGGCTCAGCAGGGAGCCTGCTTCTCCCTCTGACCCTCTCCTCTCTCATGCTGTTTCTCTCTCGCTCGCTCTCTAATAAATAAATAAAATCTTTAAAAAAAAAAAAAGATATCTTTTCAAAAACCCTTTTTCTTTTTTCTTCTTCACTACTGCCTGTTACTACTACTATTTTGATGGAATAGGTCACATATAATAACTCAATTAATTTAGTAATTTGT